GTACACCTAGAGTTACAGCTTAGGGAGTGCTCTTGACAAAGCAACCTCAAACCTTCAGTGCTTGGGGAGTGTGTGTATTTTTGCTTAGTTTAGTGTGAGGTGTCCCTGCCCATGGCAGGGGGGTTGGAACTAGATGATCTTAAGGTCCTTTCCAACCCTAACTATTCTATGATTCTATATCATAAAAGCTTTACTTCTCAGCTGAGCTGGCTCCTGCTCCAATGTCACTGTTGGTGGCGATGCACCCATGTTTCAGCACCTCTCCAAAACATCACTCTTGTATCATTGTCTTATCTTGTCCTTCGCAAGTCTGTGCAGCTTGGCACTAATAACCCTGGCAGCTGTCTGGATTCTGAGCAGTACCTGCAGGATGACAGTGTTGAGAAGTGACTTCACTACGTCAAGCGCTGTACAAACACACAGTATAAGACAGCACAGCTTAAGTAAACAGGGAAAAGACAGAAAAGAATCCTCATTTAATAGGTGGAGAATAGAAGCACTGAAATTCAGTGATTTACTTCAGGGTGCACAGGCCACAGGAAATGCAGGTTACCAGAGTCCTTGTTTGCTGCTTAAATACAGGACAAATTTCCATCACCTTTCCTCACGCAATCTTAAGAAAGATCACTCTGAGCTTTGGGAATTCACATATGAGATATGTAGCTAGTGGCTGCTGAAGTGCATCTGCACATGCCAGGCTGTGACAGGTGTGCAAGATACCTACTGTTGAGTGGGACTATCTAGCAAGAAAGTAGAGGATTGTCAGTGGGCTTGTCTGTTGTCCTTGCTGATAAAACATTCACTGCCACTCCTGTCTCTTCTCCCTGCAACAACTCATTCTCACCCAAATCTGGTAGGAGAGCAGCTGGTTAGTGGTGGTAAGGACAGCAATCTCTGCCAGCAGCAGATACTTTTTGCCCCACTCAGCTGATTAAATAGGTACTCAGCAGCAGTGCCTACCTGTCCCAGGAGACCTGTGACTCTTCTGAGCCACCTCTTTAAAAATCTAAGCCTGGAGGGCAATTTGCCTTAGGTTCCTCCTAGCAATGGTCTATTTCAATCAGGATAGCTGCTGTAGCTGGTTCTTCTGTAGGAATGGTATCAGGCAACACAAAGCATGGTGATGAACTGTCAGGTTAATGATGTGAAAATCACCTCATTGTATTCAGCCTTTATGTTAATATTGCTGTGAAATCACCCTATGAGCCACCTCTGTGAAATGTGTTAAAGAACAGCAGGGAGAGCTGTGCTCTTCTGTTACTGGTCAAAAGGCTTTGTTAGAATAACCAAAGCATTATCGCTGCTAAAGGAAATCTGCTTATCTCTGTGCCTTGTGGTGGGATACTGTCCAGATTGTCCCAGCCTCACTGCCTGGTTTCCTGATATATTCCCAAAGAAACATTGCACACACCTTCACTGGCTTTACTTGTCCCTGTCCAGGTAATTTTCTAAGCAAATAATCTGTAGTCTAGCAAACAATAAAAATTACTGGTTTTCACTGGAGGCTTTCATTTCCTTTACACAGAGACCCATGTTTCATTGCTGACTGATTAAACATGTTGGTAAAAAGTACAGTCTTTGGGATCTCAGTATGCTTATAACATCCTTTTGAAGAGAAAGCATTTGCAGGGTGGAAGTGTGGATGCATTTAGGAAAACGCTTCGTACAGGCTGATTCCCCTTCTATTTGCTCCTCTGAAATAATTCAGTTTGCTATTCTTTAGAAGGGAAATAAAAATTCTGTTCTATAAGGACAGCCATTTTTCCTTTTCTTGTAATGCAAATATTTTTTAATACAAAGAAGAAAATGACATGCAGGGGGAGTAGGGCACGTGGCAGGCCTCCCAGTTCCCATTGGTATGCCCTTCTCCCTCTTGCACCTCAGAAGTTTTAATTGAAGGGAATGCAGTTTATTGATTTTTAGCATACGGTAACACGGTAACGTGTTAATAGTCAGAGGAGGTCAAGGTAACTTTAAGCCAGTCTAGAGAGGATATAACAAGAAATTAAGGATGTGTAGTAGATTAAAGATCTGATAGTGTTTCCCATTAAATCAGAAGTTCTTTTGATTTTAGCAGCAAAAGTCCCAGGTATAAGGAGGGAAATGTGTACTATTGCTGTATCTAAAGACAAAAAAAAAAAAAGCAAAAAGCAAGGACTTGGAAAATCAGCACATTAAAGTATTATCTAACTCTGATTTTATGAGATAATTATTTTTGTCTTATATATTTACACTTGGCTCAATTAAGCCACAAAGGCACAAGTTCAGTGGGACACTGAGGGAGCAATTGTATTCTGAAGTAAAGCTTCAACTTCAGTCCATGGAAATAATGGGCTTGTTTGGGGCTTTTTCTTTGTTTGGGTTTGTTTGTTTGTTTGTTTCTCTTTTTTTTAGATCCAGTAAAAATGAAGACTATAAGGAGATTGAAGAGTTTATAACAAGAAGTGTTCCTGTAGCCTGTAGGGATGTCTCATTCTATAGTCCAGTCAGCAAATTATTTCCTGTATGATTCGTTAGTTCTGCGAGGGACAGTACTACAATCCCAGTGTTTACTGTCTTCATCATTTTCTTGTTGTTGCAGGTGAAGCCTATGTGTGTCTGAACTGGCAAGAGATCAAGCTGTTCAATTGAATTTAGCTGCATTTAACATGACCATTTAGAGCAGATCTGATGCTGGATAGTACTTTGTGCTGTGGTCAAAATGGATATTAAAGCAGTGATTCCAGAGGCTGGCTCCTCTCCTGTGTACAATCTGTAGTTATATTTTAACATTATGATATTTTATGTAAACTACCAATACTATATAGTATTACAATGTCCTGTTGTTTCCAAGGAGTCCTAATATTTTTGTGCTGCAATGGAATTCTGTAAAACAAAGAGGAAAAATGATGCTGCATTTACAATCAAGAGAATCACAGTATCACAGTATCACAGTATGCTGGAGATTGGAAGGGACCTCAAAAGATCATCTAGTCCAATCCCCCTGCCAGAGCAGGAACACCTAGATAACGTTACACAGGAATGTGTCCAGGCGGGCTTTGAATGTCTCCAGGGAAGGAGACTCCACAACCTCCCTGGGCAGCCTGTTCCAGTGTTCCGTCACCCTCACTGAGAAGAAGTTCCTTCTCAAGTTTAAGTGGAACCTCTTGTGTTCCAGTTTGCACCCATTACCCCTTGTCCTATCATTGTTTGCCACTGAGTAGAGCCTGGCTCCATCCTCGTGACACTCCCCCTTTATATATTTATAGACGCTTATAAAGTCTCCTCTTCTCTAAACTATAAAGACCCAGCTCCCTCAGTCTTTCCTCATAAGGGAGATGCTCCACTCCCTTAATCATCTTGGTTGCCCTGCGCTGGACTCTATCCAGCAGCTCCCTGTCCTTCTTGAACTGAGTGGACCAAAAATGGACACAATATTACAGATGGGGTCTCACCAGGGCAGAGTAGAGGGGAAGGAGGACCTCTCTCAACCTACTAACCACCGCCCTTCTAATACATCCCAGGATGCCATTGGCCTTCTTAGCCACAAGGGCACAGTGTTGGCTCATGGTCATCCTGTCGTCCACTAGGACCCCCAGGTCCCTCTCCCCTACACTGCTCTCTAGCAGGTCGTTCCCCAACCTATACTGGAACCTGGGGTTGTTCCTGCCCAGATGCAGGACTCTACACTTTCCCTTGTTATATTTCATCCCGTTATTCCCTGCCCAACTCTCCAGCCTGTCCAGGTCTCGCTGGATGGCAGCACAGCCTTCTGGCGTGTCAGCCACTCCTCCCAGAATATATGAATGCTTGCTGTTTGGTAGCATAATGAAACTGCTAACTCAGGGTTTAATTTTGCCATTACAAATAGAGTGGATATATATTATTACTGTGTGATGATGATGCAAGAAATAGCTTATTCTTGACTGAGATTTATACATCTGTACTTTTCATTTATTCTGAAAAAGGGAGATAGGTTTGCTATATGTATTTGTAAAGTTATATGCTTTAATATTTTCTTGAAAACAGCTTAATCTTTAATAATTCCAAGCACTCATAGTCCATCCCGTCTGTTCTCCCTCTCCTCCTTCAGAGAGAGAAAGAAATACATCTTTATGTGTACTGCACATATATGTATGAAAAATAAACTTCCTCTGTAGCAAGTAAACCCAAGAACAATGTTGCTAGCAGCTGTTGTGCTTAAAGCCCAGTGCAGAACACTGGTCCATTATGAGCTTTCAATGCTCTTCTCAACATCAGTAATCAACGTGCCAGTACAATGTATTGTAAACTCAAATGCCCAGGCCAGGAGACCACAAAAGCTTTTCTGTCTTGTGTGAGTGAACTGAAAAGTCTTTCACAGTGCTGCAGAATATGCTGGCAGACTGCGTCAGTTCAGAGCCCACAGTGTTCCAGAAGATGGTTATGTACAAGGAGGGCAAATCTTGTCTAATCCTTGATTAAGAAGCTACTATAACTGTTACTTTTAAAAAATGAGAAGAATCATATGTATATCTCAAATACAACCATCAGATAATTACAGGCTGCCCAGTGGCTGCATGAAGTGCAGTAGCTGAGGAACAGAAAAAGTCTGTGTTCCTTCAGCAGCAGCAGGACATCTTATCCACTCTCACAAACATAAAGTAAGACCTATCCTTTAAAAACAGACATACACCTATTTCCTCCTGGTTTATCAAATATTCTCATAGACAATCATTTTTGCAAGCAGAAAGTTACAAAGCCAGAGTTTTATAGCAACAATGGTAGTTTTTCTTAAAGGTGAAATCCCAAGGTAACAAGCACCCAGTCCTATGATTTTCACTCACATTTGTACATTTGTAGTTGTTGGGAAGAGTTAAGACTACATTGGGTAAAATAGCATCAAAGTGAAACCAAATAACTTCTCACTGCATGGTCCATCTAAAAAGGAAGGTACCTGCTAGGATTTTTAGGAAGTTTTGCTAGGTATCAATGGAAGCAACGAGATGTGAGAGAGAGGAAGATCAGCTTAGCAAACAGAATACTGCTTTTTGTAATTTTATTTTAAATGAAAATGTGCTCAGATACAGCCCAGTTATATAAGCAGAAATTTAGACAAATGTTTAAAGCTAACAAACTCCTGTAATTGATCTCTTAGCTTCACAATTCTTTTGTCATTGATTATAAGCTCAGACTAAATTCAGTCTTTTGCATTACCCAGATTCAAAATCAATGATGTTAAAATACAAAAATGTCTTAAATTTCACTTTCCACCCTAACTTACAAGAGTAATAAAACCACTGAAATGCCTTCACTAATAAGCCACACTGACATGATATAAAACTGTACAAACTGTTGTTTAAAACAAGCATTATAGGGTAAGTTATGGCAGCGCTAAAGATTTTAAGCAGAATTTTTTTCCCACTTGTCCTTATGTAGACTCTTTTGACTAAATTACAAATAAAAACCATTTTGAAAATGTACTCTTAAATTCACCAGAATAAAAAAAGCCCAAAAAACTATCTGAGAGAAAAGTCTATATTCTACGGTGTGTACTCACACTCCAAATTCCCAGGATGTGGAACGCTATTGGAACAAGGGTTTTCCTCATGCTTGATGTACTTAGAAACACATCCTGCACCTGACAAGGTGAGCAGTCTGCATGCTGGAAAAGTACTGAGTACTGCTGAGTAAAGCAACTGAGACAAAGTATGGCTTAAGTTCAGTGTGGTTAAGGCAGAGTACGTGTTTTGAAGCTCTCACTTCTTCTGCTTCCACATAAAAGCACTAGTGCTCTAGGAATGTGTTTAAGAGCTTTGGTTAAAAAGACCTGCTGGAGCTGGAGGTGGTTCCCAGAGATAATCTAAAGAAATTCACTATAATGAGCTAGACAGTCCCTAAAAATCCCCTTCGTTGACTTCATATTCTTACAGCCATTAGGTCCAAAGCTCCAAATATATATATATGTACTAAAAAGACAAACATGTCAAGTACAGCTTTCTCAAAATACCCACCCCTTATTTGTCCCCTGTAAGACACATCTCCCCCTCTGGATCAGGCATCATCTGAAATTTTACCTGAGTGTGGCAATACTTTGGCCTAATAAGTAAACCAGGTCTAGTCCTAACCTTGCAAAAGATGTAGAATTAATGCTTTATCAGGCCAAATTCTGCACACTGTTATGCTGACCTCTTTCTAAAGGAATTTCTGTGACATTAATTTAGATTAGTTTAGATTTTCAAGTGAAGGCAAATTGTAGCCCATTTTAGCCCATTAAAATAAACTAACCCACAGTTTCTGTTTGAAGAATCAATAGCTTAAACAAAGCATTGGCAGCACTTTCCACATTTACAAGAAAACCTCCACTCACCCCATTTGACGAGTTTTCAATTATTATTTATCCTTTCCAGTGCTAACAATTTCTACCTTATCCACAGAAAGACACCAAAGCTCAGGAAAGCATATCAACAGGGGTGTCGTATTGTTGCATAAGCTTATGCTTAAAGATGCCAGAAAGTAACTGGGCTCTGATCATTCTTTGGCTTGAAGCTGGAGCCTCCTTGGATAGATCAGTTCTTCCACTTGTTGGAGTCCCATGCCAGGAACCAGCCTGTGAATGTTGGGGGTTCATGCCCCTGCTTCACAATGACAATGGAGGTCCTCTTATCTCTGCCAGAAGGATCTGTTTCAATATAGCGTTTGGCTAAAACCAGAGAGGAAATATAACATATAATATATTAGTTCATTCCTTTGGTATAAGAAACACATTAAAAGCCCTAGTGAAAGAACCCAGGGCTACTATAACACAGTATTCAATTAAATTATTTCAAAGGCAATTAAATGTTCAGGTAATTGCTGATTTCTCCCAGCTGCCAGTGAAGGAATTTTCCACAAGGTTGAAACAGAGGGATTGTTGCTTTGATCAGTTCATTGCCATACACCTGGGTTTTGGCTCCTGAATAGGAGAAAAAAAAACACTGCTAGTGCTGTGTAGATGCACAAGCTTCATTCCTGCTTTGCTTATGTAAAAGCCAGTATAGTTTCCCCTAACATCACAAGATGACATCCACACAGTTCAGAAACACAGTCAGGTAACCCCAGATGCTCCAGGGAAATACCTGCAAGTGTTTTTTAGCACAAACTTTGTCAGAAGAGCTCAGCTATGTGAAATCACACCAGAGAGAATATATGATTTTCCAAGGAGGTGCATTCCATATGACTTGTCATGCTTTGTTCTGTAGTTGGAATTTCCTCCTCCTAATTTAAATTCAGTGAACAGTGGCAGGGGAAGGACTTGAGGATTTATTGGCATGCCTTTGACTGTATAAATTAGTGTAGGGCACAGCTCAATAGGTATCTCCTTTTCAATTCTTTCTCTTCTCAGTGCAGTTTCTTTTCATGGAGCTCTCCTATATATTCTTTAAAAAGCTCTGCAGCCTAATAATACTATCTTGATTAATTTTATCCTTCATATGCTTACAGATAATAAAGATAAAATTAGTTTTAAAGCACATTTGAAGGAGAAAATAATTTTCTTCAGGATTAAATCCTAATAAGCTCAGTAACTCCTTTAAACACTGTAAACATAATTAGATTTCTTCTAAATCATCTTTTTCACTTCTTTAAGTAATATTGATGCTACTTCACTCAAAATTCTTCCAAATTGATTTGATTTACCAGATTTAACGGATTCCTGTCGCTCAGTTTCATTAGCATCCTTCCCAATCCAGACAAAAACCTGCAAGCAGAGGAAAGAGATAGCTCCCATGTTGTTACAAGGATGTTGTGTACAGCAGGTAAAGTACAAAACAATTGATTCCACCAGGAGAAAGAATATACACTATAAAAAGACTGCACAGAAATACAGCTGTCACAAACCACAACTGATATTATTTTTTCCCTTGTGCAAGAGATCGTAGTTCTATCCTCCAAAATCCACAGAAAATGTAATTAGAGTTCCCTTCACCACAGTGCATAAAGGTCCATATTTCCAGTGTCAAAAAAGTGGTGAGATTTCAGAGGGTAGAGTTAGTCTTGCAAGGAAATCAGAAGCCTTAGTCTGCAGTCCCCACGTAGTTGGTTGGTTGGTTGGGGTTTTTTCCTGCCAAGGATCCTTTTGGAGACCAACTATGTGTCTCAGACTTCCTTCCTTCTTACCTGAGTCACTACGTCCCAACTACTTTCCATCCAGCTCTTCCACCCACCTTGTCCCATCACTGTTTTATACATGAACCTTGGACATTCCTTCTCATTTCCAAAAACCTCAGCCTTTTCTTCCTTAAGGATTAGGCTGAAGAACACAAATAAAGTATGGGATCTGTGGCTTCCTCCCCACTTTCCTCCAAGGAAAGAGGAAGGGTAGAGAATATACTGTAAGAAACAGATGTGCTTTATTGCACCCCCAAGTAAGTTTACAAGTCATCCAAAAAGCTCTCAGCAGTCTCAGTTTTCAGTGAACCTGTGAAAATGACAGATTGTTTTTGCCAACCTCCATGCAGTTTGTCTGAAGAAAACTGTGTAAGGGTTTAGACTTTGCCCCCTTCTCTAATAAAACCTTTTGTAGGTGCTGCTGCTAAATGGATTTTGTGGCTTCCGAATACCTTTTATGCAATAACTTTCTGTTTTAAAAATCAGTAAACTTTATTGATAAAATCAAGAACATTATTGAGAGCCTTTCAGGGGCTCATACTCTTTCAGCATCCATTGGTTTTAATGGGGAGTGCCTGCCATGATCCTACATGATGCTTGGAAAATCACTCGTGTGTGTTCACCCTAGCACATCATGTAGCTCAAAAAATACAGCTCCCTTTGGTATAATTTAAAGAAAACAAACCCTTTTCCATTCTCAAAAGATTATTTTTCTTCCCATCTTATGATCTAAGTGGTAAGGAATAAATTATCCTCGTTACCATGAAAAGCAGTGGTCAAGGACACAGCTTACCTGCTCCCAAGCATCCAGCAACATAACATCATCTTCAGCCAAATCGTCCTGAGTGAATTCTCCTGGGACCTCCTCAATCTGAAAAGGACATTATGCTTTGGTTTGGGTTTTTGGTTTGGTTTTTGTTTTTTTTTTTCATAATTTATCAAGATCTTCTGATTTTGCACAGACCAAAGATACTTTTAAGAGGGTAAGGCTAGAAGCTGTTGCACAATTCTTTTTGCTCCTAAAGGATCAAGCCCTAAACTGATTTGATGAATGTGTCAAGGGTGTTTTTCTGAAAGGAAACAGATCACATAATTGCATATCCTATAAAATCAGCTCAAAGTTTGTCAGGATTGATAGGATATCCTCAAGAGGGGCAGAGGTTTACATTGCAATTCTGACTGTTGTTAAGTTGGGACTGAGGTCTGACAGAAGGCAGCGACAGGGAAATTCCCATAGAGCACCTTGTACCAAGCAAATCAATCAGCTGATCCCAGCTGAGGTATTCCTGCAGCTTACATTCATTAATAAGGTAAAGAAACTGCACTGGTCTGCAAAGGGTGAGCTCAGTGATGAAATACACACCCAAGCAAGTTTTCCAGTCACTTGACAGTGGGATATTACAGTTGACTAAGGCATCTCAAGGCTTAGTCCCCAGAGGAAAGGCAGACTGTTTGCTTCTTCCAAGGATGTGCAGGCAGATAGGAAAGCAGTTTAGTACTGTTCTGTGTGAGAAGGAGAGATAGCAATGTAGCTAGTGGTCAGCCCTCTACTTTTAAAGGACTGTCAAGGGTGTGGCTATGCTTGGTCATGTAGGAGTGCTGAAGAGACGGTGAGCAGATGGTGCAAAAGACACTCCTTTTCTCCACCCTGTGTTACAGTGCCAGGTCAGAGTGATCTGACCTACCTCTTCTGGTGAGCTCTAACAGTGATGATTCTGTTAACTAAAGAAATGCTTCAGGAAAGAGGGGATTTCACAGAATTTGGAGGGAATTTAAAACGAAAACCAAACAAGTGCATAGCTGCCAGAGCACTATTTACAGAGAGCTTTGTTCCTGTATTTCAGAGGAGTGTTTTAGAAGCTTTGTTAGAAGAATACACTTCACTACTTTTATTAAAAAGTAATCCTTATTAAAAGTTCCTATTTGTTTTATCCCTCTTCAAATGAATGGGCTGTGTTTTAAGGAGACTGCAGAGATGGTGGCAAACTATGTCCCCTCCCTAAAAATTAGTAGAACTGTGCCAGACAGTGACACAGTGTTGCCCTCCCAGAATATAGTAATAAAGCCTGAATCACAGGCTTAATACACAGTGCCCACTTTGGGGTATTTCTGCTAAGGAACTAGGTCTTCCTACCTCTTAAGCATAGGTTTATACCTCAGACACGTAATTTCATGTCTTAAATCTCTATGGAAAAATTCAGACTGCTAGAGATTTTTGGCAAGGAACATTTCCTCACCACCACTATCAAACACATTAAGGGGCAAGGCACTGACCTTTCTCAGTGAAAGCAGTCTGGCAATGGTCTGCCAGAACACTATTGCTTTCAACTGGGCAAATACCTCATCATTTTTCATCTGCAGGCCTCTAGTCCCTGGCTGGAGCAGGCTCTGTGCGCAGACTTCATTATTCATCATTCTGTCCATCCATTGCATTTGGATTGATTTAAAGCATGAAATATCAATTCTCCAGCTCTTGTTAAGCACAGCTAACTAAGCCAGATCTCCAGATTCATTTAATGTCTGATGATTCCCAAAGCAAAATATACCAGAAACTATACAATTAAACAGAGAAGAAAGTATCCCTCATATACTCACAATAAATCTACCAGTCTTGTTAGAACAACCATACAGGCGAGGGGGGTGATCTCCAGCCTTTGTCAAGAGTTGTGATGACGTCTGGTACTTTTTTTTACCTCCCAGTGCTTTCCAGAATTCCTCTGAAATACACAGTATATAATTTATTCAGCAGTGGATTTAATATTTGATGGTTTAGCTTGTTAGATACATTTCAAGAATCCCCAAACAATATCTGTGCTGTCTCAAAGATGAGTACATTTTCCTATAGTTCTTCCCACAGTTTGTCAAAATAGTAATGAAAATATCACTTGCAGACCTAGAAAGAACGATGCACTATGTCCTTCTCCCCTCCTAGGCACTTGCAGTAAAGAAAGGACCACATTCCTCTGCAGCTCCTACTACTGTCCTGCAGACTTCCAGGGCATCACACTGGGCCAGTTCTGGATGGATCTCCATAGTAAATGTCAGGTTGGATTTTAAAATGGAAAAAGTGAGCATATAGTTCTGGCTACAAAATATATATAATCACAAAACCCTATTTAGGCTGTATTTCCATGCAGTGCTCTGTATTCTTAGCTACCTATTAGCAACCATGTGGCCTCATACTAACCAGGTTCCTGGCCTTCATTAATCTTAGCAGTCTGGCAATTAAGAATGCTGGCAATGTATTGAGCTCCATGTTCCTCTTCTTTGCTTGAGCCTTTTCCTACCCAGGTGTAGCCAGAGTTGTTTGGCAGTTTCAGAACAAAGACATCATTAGAGTTTAGAGACATTGCATCAACATCAACCTAGATCAAAAAAAAAAAAAAACTGTTTAATTCTCCATATTTTCAAATAAGGTAATCACTATTTTGCATGCTTATATAAACTGTGTAGGTAGATCTTAATCAGCTATGCTTTTTTCCTTCAAATTTTCCCTAGGTTTATACTGATATAAGTTACAGAACCTAACCTGAGACAGGGAGCCTGCTTGAAGGGCAAAACTTAGGACTGTTTGGCAGTGAGAAAAACTGTCTCATAAGGGTTGCTGATTCTTATCTATTCTTTATCAGCTGACTCTTCACTACACGTTTTCTTACAGTTTCCTCTGAAAGCTGTAGATTGGTTGCACCAAGTTACAGCATATTCTCTTTGATTTATTACATGGATTGTTCACTTAGGGCAGTGGATTTGATTTGGAATTCTGCATTCCTACTAGATGTGACTACCCAACAAGATTAGTCAGAGAGGCTATGGCAGCTATACCATTTCCCATGGAGAACAGTTGATTCATCTAGCAGGTGACCTTACCTCTGCAATCCTAGTAATAGCTGCAAGGTTCCTGCGGATTTGGAAGAGTCGTGTCAGTGGAGCAGGTTTCTGACCTTCGTTCCTGGATGTCCCATCCTTGTAGACAATAAGTGGTTTGTTTTTGAACAAGCTCAGTAAATGTGCAGGCTCTTTGCCTTGGCTGACTCGGATCTGTACATACATAAAGAAATGCAATAAAAGAAATAAAAGGACACAGGTAGTTATTTTTGGTCTTTGTTGAATAGCGCGGGGGATGTTAGCCAATAACGTGAAGTTTGTTAGCATGAGGGAGAAGTGGCAAGCAGAGAAAACCTAAAGATATAGTTCCAGACACATTAAAGTTAGAGCATTTGTGAGACTTTTTTGTCAATCATGCTGACACAAAGACAAGATTCAACCTTCTAACATAACGTTTAGCTGATTAAAATGGCTGCTATCTACTGTAATGAGAAAATTACTCTTTTTCAAAAGAATTGTCATTTCATAGCATTTTATAGAGTGACTGAAGAACTATCATGGAAGTTTAGGTGCCTTGTATTTAAGCAGAACAGAAAGAGTATTCATCCTGTTCATTATTTCTATGTGTATTTTATCTGCAAGAGGGTGAAAAAGATGAGCATAAATCTATCTTGCAGATAACGTAGACGACAAAAATGAACTTATATTAGAGACGCAAAAGATGTTATTTCAATCTCAAAAAAAAAAACATTGAGCTATGAAGAATAGATATTTTTAGGTTAATGTATGATAAAAGTCATTTGTAGACAACTATTTATTCTTCCTTTGTATCAGTGCCACCTGTCAAGGTGGAGGGCTACGACTACCTGCCTTTCACTCCTGGAAAGAAAGAGGAAAAAGGGAACGAGGCATGCTGCATACCCAACAGAGGAGAATTGGACAGCTCCAGCCCCTTAGCCCTGCCTGGTGAGGCTTGAGGCAGCAGTGGTCATGCTGGGCAGCAGGAGCAAGTGTTTCTACTGCAGAGACCACAACAGCTGCCTGTTGAGGATACCCTGGAACACATACAGTTGTGTGTATGCCAAACTGCAGCAGGATTTTACAGATGGGGAAAAAACCTAATCACCAAACAAAACAAAACAAGCCAACAAAAAAAGCTGAAGGAAACATACTCTTGCAAAACAAATAGGGAAAAATGACTTTTTTTAGTCATTTGTACTGTAATGCCATCTAGTGACCACAAAGTAGTACATTTAAACTCTTCAAATAATGCTAATACAGACGTTAAGCACAGGCAATATAATCTAGGTAGCCATGTACATGCATACAAATGCACACATATTTGAATGTATATATACACACATATATACATTCCTAAATTTATTTTAGGCTAAAAGTGCTTTAAAGTATTGTGTCCATTGCGCCGAGATGGATCTCCTTCAGTTTTAATAGAGAGTTTTTAAGCACATTACTATTGCAGTTGAGAGTAGTAATATTATTAGTACTGTAGTATTAGTACTGGCCTTAGGTATGAGGCTGGCCCACACTGTGCTGGACTCTGTCCAAATATAGAACTTGTGTTAGGAATATTTCAAGCAGTAATTGCTTAGAAGTGTTCTAACCCTTCCTTAATATAATTTCAATCATAAATCATTACTGATTAATGGTTAAAAGCATAGTCTGCCATCTAGATTAACTGTACCTTAGTGGGTGGGAGAAGCCTTTTACTTTGGTAATTAAAAAATGGCAATCACAGAATTCTCTGACTGCCTAGAAAATCTCTGTCCCTTGTTCTCTTACAGCTCTGGCTTTCCTGTGAAAAGAGGAGACCTCTCACCTCTCCACTTACTCACCACTCCTCAGCAGTGATGAAAGAACATCACACACCCTAGTCATGTTAGGACTAGCTTATCGCCTCACACCTGTTAGCTGTCAGTGTCCTGCACCTTGCCTTGCACACCCCACTTCTGCAAGTGAGGGTGTGTGTCCTGCTTTCATGGAGCTGCAAGCACTACAGGATGGGAAAACCCAAGTTATGTTCCTCAGTAAGGCAGGCACAAGCCAGATGCTGTCACACAGTTCATCATATCATAGAATCATAGAATGCTGAGGTTTGGAAGCGACCTTAAAGATCATCTAGTTCCAAACCCCCTGCCATGGGCTGGGACACCTTCCACTAGACCAGGCTGCTCAGCATCATGTGGCTTTCATATCTCCCAGTTTTGGCCCGCTAAAAGTCAGGGGTCCTGTCTGGGCTAACCATGACAGCTTCCTCCATAATCAAAAGGAGACAGGAGAGCTCCCACAGGGGTTTCACCCTGTTAGACACCTGCTTCAGGGGAGATGCTCTGGGAGGATCTTATCTGGTCTCTGCTTACCATGTACAGCATCTGTAAGTCTAGGCAGGACTAAAACCTAATTTTTAGACAGTGAAAGTCAAAGGAAAGAAAAGGCAGTTTTAGGCTGTGTTCTATCTGTGTTCTTCTGAATATCTACATTCAGAAAGAATGATTCAAATGGGGAACCTCCAGTGACTTTAAAGGGAGCCCATGGTGTTTGGCTTATACAGATCACGAGCAGCTAACTTTCCCAGTCTTCAAACACTACCTCCTCCTTTCAGTTCTTATAAAAATTGTTATATTTTGCATGCTGTATTGAATTTTATCCAAAAGACACTAACCTGCACAGCCTGACCATTCAATAACCGATCCAGCTGAACAGTCAGAAATGCAGATGCAGTCAGTTCATCTTTTGTAGCATGGGCTCCTTGCCTAAGAGAGAAAGACAAAGAGAAAGACAGTGGTTAAGTCCAGTTTCAAAATGATTCAGAGCTTATACTGCATAACAAATGCACAGTAAACAATCTTGCATTTACATGTGGTTCTACTGAAAAGAACATAAAGTCAGCATAAAATAATATCCACATTCTGGAGGTTTGTGCAAAGCCAACCAAACACACCATGTGTAGATGATCTGTCCTTTAGGGTAAGTGTAGAGGACAATGTAGCAGTCGCCACCATAGAACTGTCCATAAGTCTCAGGTCCCACAGGAACCCTGCCACTGCTTTCGACACGCCAGATCTGGGGAAACAGAGATATCACTGGAGTATGCTGCACTTCATCCTGAGACTCTGCAAGAAGCAATTCACTGTGTCATCCCTTTGAGTGATCTTTGTTTCTGTTCCAAAGTGTTATGGAATAAAACCAGGAAGGATTCTTCATGAAGTAGATCTATACACCCTGCACCCACTCAATGAATGAATAAAGACCATCAACAAGCCAATGCTGTACACTTTTCTTTGTCTGATGCTTTAATGCCACATGATCATCTCATAATGCTATGTTGAACTTACTTGAAGATCTTAAGATGACAATATGACATGAATGGCACAACACTGTGATTCATCACAGTACTACCATATCATTTGGGAGAGACACACTGCAGAGAGCACACTGTTATGCAGATTTCTTCCTATTTGATTCATTACAGCCCAGTTCAGTTAACAACTGTTCTCCAAAAACATACTACTAAAATTATAAATCAAAAAATGCTGCAGATCAAAGCTGCTTTGGCTTAAGCCTACGGACCATCTCAAGTATGATGTTAGAAACCTAGAAAACATAGCAATGAGACTGTAGGTATTTATCTCTTCTTTTTCTTCTGTAATCCTAACATGCAGGCCTGTATTCAAGAGGCTGTGTTGCTAAAATGGCAAACCAGCCCTGTGTAATCCAAAGATATTCCTGCAGTGGGATATGGATAGATTTAGAAAGACTGTACAGTCATTTTTTCTCTCCAAATCCAGGCTACCTGAGAAACATAATAGGGACAAAGAAGGTTCTTCTAGAAAGCAGACTGGATACATACATAAAGACACAGAATTGAATTTTTTGACTCCAAGGGCAAGTCTTCCCATTCCAGATTTCAAGCTGATATAAGCCAGAAGTCTTTCCTTAGGCTAAGGATCATATTCAAAGTACATCTTTAACAGGTATTGTGTAGAGATTCAATTTCTACTTCCAAGTATCTTTTCTGATGATAGAAGTAACACTGCCACTAATGTAGCATTACTCTATACAACAGTGTAAATGGGAAAACATAGTGTAGCAGCCTATCCCATTACACTTAACAAACTACACTGGGTAGGTGGGATACAATTTAACACAACACAAAAATTACCTCTACTTTCCCTGAACCATCATCTACCATGTTGTGCTGGGCAGCCATTTGTGGAGACTCATGTAACTTGGTAGCATCAAATTCAACCTGCTCAATTTTAGCCACTCTCTCTGTGACATACACTTTGCCAAAGCCATCACTTTGATCTTTATCCTTCCAGTCTTTAAAAAATTGTTTGAAAATTGGCGTTTCACCTCCTTCTGGAAAGACTTGAATCTGAAATGAAGCAAGACACATGAAATGGAAGGAAAACAAAACTGACACAGTTACTCAAATAGAAACTTTTCTGAGTTACTTGTTAGTGAAATATTGCCCTTATGTCTTACCAGCCCTTAAAATATTTTTTGCTGATTTAAAACCAAAGTTTTGAACAGAGCTCATGTTTTCCTGGTATCATCTTATAAATAGATCGCACCTGTGTGTTGGCAGGATAATTCATCTGCTGTATGAATTGTTCAGCATTCTTCATGGCAGCTTTCCTCTCTTGTGGGTTAGCATCTTTGCCTGGTTAAAACAGAAGGATAACAATACATGGGAAAGCGTAATGAGCTCACAGATCCTGCAAAAACAAGATGCCCTTGAGCCAGGTTCTATCTGACATTGCTCTTGCCTCAGCCTTGAACAAACACAAATGCTGGACATAGCATGAGCAAGAAGACTCACATGTAAGCTGAATGGCCAAAACAGCGGCTTTGAAAACAGCTAAAATAAAAATAAAAATGGGGACATTATAATTATTTTATTTTTTTCTTCTAGTGTGGGCCTCTACCAAAATAATGCTGTTCAAAATATCTGCTTGGTTCAAGGTACAAGAACACCCCGGTGCTTTTCTCTGAATATGCTCCTTACTGGGCTGCAATGTGGTAAATAAAGCTGCTGTCCAGAACTGCCTTTACCTCTTCAGGCACTCCCACAGTCTGAGTAGAGGCAACTCCCACTTTGTCTGGCTGGGCTGTGCAATTTCCACTGCCCTTCCCAACCCATTGCTCCTTTTTCAGCCTTGCTCAGTGTCAGACATCTGGGGAAACCTCTGTGGGATGATATTGTCTATCAGGTCTGTGTCCCAGCTGGCTGTCAATTACTATACTGCAAAGACCTCTTAGTCTAATAAGATGCTCTTATGAGCTATTCATTGTATTCCATTCTGAATGAGATTATTAGAAAAGCAATTCACACTCCTCAGCTTAGTGGTCTGAAGATTTCCAGCAGAGATGATAACTGCAGCCTCCCAGTGAAAGGGTGAGACTCATAGACTAATGTGAGTCATTATTGTTACACATTATTTTTACCAACAGTAGCACAGTGAGGATGCACGGAGGAGCAAATAGGTTCACATTCAAAGGGCCTAAATAGTATTTTATTTATTTTATGCCTGATCCTATTGGCTTGGTTCTTCTTGAAGCTGTCAGGTAGAGAGTAAAAACCAGGGATCAAGTAGACGTTAGGCCATCTGAGCATAATGCTCCCAAAACATTCTCACTTAAAGGATGCTTCCCTAACTGCAAATGAAGTTTCAACAAAAATGCTTACACTGCTTCCTGAACTGACTCCAGCAGTTTGACCAATGCATTGATTAATTATTTGCTATTCACATGATAAAAAAAAAAAAATGCAAATGCCACAGAATAATTAATACAGTGTCTCAGATGAAAAAGGGGAGATACTCAGCACTGGAGGCAATGGCAGCACCACAACAATCCAGCTACAAGGTGTACAGACCTAATTCCTCATTAGTAGTATTCTCCTGGGAAATGTTCAGTCAAAGTAACTTCAGACACTCCTACAAGCATTCATGATACTGCAGAGAAATATTCACAAGACAAAAAGAAGCATCAAAGTATGTGCAAGCTTATGCTTTTAGTTGTTGCCTGAGACACTCATCTTGCAATGTCACACTTCTGTGGAGCAATGTATGGAATCCACCCATTATCAAAATTTATGTGTTCAGATTTTGTTCCAGAAGATAGGGATTTGATAACAGTATATAGAATTTGTAGAATTCTTTATGTTTGCTTTGTAACTGCCACTTAGATAAGCACTTAGGCACCCAGGCTTACAAGTACCTCAGAAATAACCAGGATCCTTAGACAAGACTTAATCTGGAGGCTGTTACCCAAATGAGCAATCCGTGTCCACCAAGGAACTGCACCTACACCAAGGAAGACTGTGTGCAGGGTGCTGTGTCCAGCCAATATTAAATTATTGCTAGTGTCCCCAGGGTGTTGTGTCGACTCCTTAGATATATCTGTGTAGCTTCTGCATTTGCAAGAGAAGTGATCTCTTACCTTTCCACACAAAGATCTTCCTTGCAGCACCATTGTCCAAAATGAAACACTCCTCAGACAAAAGCATAGCCATGGAGAAGGGGTTTTCCTCTGCTACCAGGGACACTTTCATGGATCCACTTGCATCTGACACCTAAGAAGCAAACATTTCAAATTTAGAGCAACTCTGACTTTTATTTCCAAGTTAATTTTGGCTCCCAAAATTACTATAATGATCAGCTGCCATTCCTATATAAATGGCTAGATGAAATTTGTGTGCTGCTGGAAAGTAAGGCAGGCTGATGATACTTCTGTTTCATTTCATCTTACATCCAATAGAGGGAGATGTAGTATTAATTTTAGTGAGTTTGTTGGATTCCTGTCTAACTTCTTAAAAGAAATCTGTTTATTTCCCCTTGCAATTCAACTGCTCCTTCGGTGAACACCTGACAGTTAAAAATCTGTACTTTCTCCAGCCTCTCGTATATGCTCAGCTGAACTAGTGGAGTCCCTAAGTGTCATCTTCTGCTACCAAGCAACCTGCATGAAGCCAAAAGTACACATACATGCTGAACATTTGAAATTGTAACAAAATACTCCTACACTGTTATTAACAATAAATACCTATATTTACGATATATAATTTGCTAACTGGAAATTGTAATATAAGACTTGTTACAGAATCTGTTTCGTAATCTCTACAACTACTGTACGTTCATGTAGATTTTTAAAACCTTCTAAAATTCTGTCCTGTATGATGAAAAGATCAATTATTACTACTAAAAAGAAGTTATTATGACTCTTGTAATAACTTTTCTAGAAGTCTTTATTTCCTTTTAATTAGTAAGTATAAATTATAAATATACCACTATATCTTACCTTGTGTGTTATGGAAGCACAAGATGGCAACTGCAACTGCATACAACAAATAAAAATCAACTATTATACCTATCGTGAGGCTTCCTGTAGGCCTGCCTCCTGACTTTGACACTTGATGTTTTATTGCAGCACATTTAAATTTAGCTAACAGAGCTCCATTAGCAGGACAAGGTATGGTTAGAGGAATTTATTAAATATTCACAGAATTTTCTGAGAGCTCCTAGGATTCCAAAATTTACTGCAAGCATTTTTCTTTAGTCTTGTCTTACTACAGTGGTCCTGATCATACCTGCAGGCTTTTCTCTTCCTCCTGCCCCAAACCTTCCTACAAATTTAAATATGTGCCAGATTTTTTGGCAAGAATGGAATGATTAATGGGAACTAAACACAGCACATAGACCACAAGGACTAAAAATGGCCTTGTAACGATCGCCTCATACAGGCTTCTTGTAAACCTCTGCACCACATGTGGGTAGGGGAAGAACCATGCTATAGGCAGGGAGAGAGGTGGCTTTATCCTACTGAAGCCTGTGGGATGCAGTAGCTGCAGAGGAAAGGACTCACCATCTCTCATACTTCACAGCAGCCTCAAAGCTACTGTATATGGCACCTAAAAGTCATACACATGGGGATACAGCAGCACTTAGTTCTGTCAGTGTTGCCACTTGTTGACCAAATCCTTGCTCTTAGGTGACTGTGGTGAAGACAAAAAAGTACACTGTATGCCAGTGAAAGACTTTTCCGCCACAAAAGGCACCCTCACTGCTTGAGCCAGAGCACACAATACTGAAGAGAAAGGTCCAGACCTTCATGCTAATGAGAGCTTTTAAAATAAATACTCTTTGTGCAGTCTTCAGGATAAAATACTCTTTTCTTATTGGGAGGAGGGAGGATAACGTGTTTTATAGCTATTGTTATAGATATGTGTTTATAGCTATTGTATAGCTATCCCCTTTTCCAAGTACTTTCTTACTTCTTTTCTCAAGTGGGAGAATATGAAAGAAAGAGAAGCTACGGGGAAAATAAAATAAAATAAAATAAAATAAAATAAAATAAAATAAAAATACAGGCCTGGAAACAGTTTGGATAGTTTGGTTTGGGGGTTTTTTTGGTTGTTTTTTTTAATAGTAGTGTAGCTTTGTATACAGGTAAGATATTGTACTGCTAGCTCGAAGAACAAATTCCATGCCTCTTCTAGGGAAGAGCAGTACACCTAGCATGATGTGAGGGAAATAATTAGCTTTACAGACTACAATCATGAAATTCCTACTGATTTAAATGGACTCAATTTTTTTCTGGCAGCGACGCAGTCCTAGTCAGTGTTAAGCTATTGCAGGTGAGGAAGGAAGAAAAGGGCATTGGAAAAGAAAGAAGGTTTACGTTCAAATTCCTTTGGATTTATCAATAAAATATAACACAACTGTCCAGCTTTCAAACTTTGTGAAGAATAACTTAATCACGTATGCTTACCAAAACTCTCACTGTTAAAATCAAGAAGACACAAAGTATAGTTTAAGACCAGCTAATTCTTCTTTGACCTGAACTGAGCGCCTCATAGGCGATGCTTAGCTTGTTTCCTGAATAAATAGGATATAATCCTTTTTTTTTTTTCTCCTGAAATTATCTGGGCTGTCTTGATTGACATCCCTTGAGAAACTTGTCCATTGGCTGCAAATCAACTGACCTAAAGGCAGTTCTGTAACTGAAGCCACAACTCCATGCATGAGGAACAAATGAATGCATGAATACTGTAGAGTGTACCTAACTTAAATAAGCAAATAAATTACGTACCATATATAGTTTAGCACTTCTCCTGTTTGTAATATCGGCTAGCTCATCTTCATTATCATCACACTCGGGAAGCTCTGGCTTGCTCCCTAAAACCTGTTCAACAAAAGAAGAACAAATTCAGTGAAGAGAGAGTAGATGCTATAGTATAAATACCCAAACACTGTAATGGTTGTTCCACTAACTAATTAAACTGCATTATGTTTACATGTAATCCAGTCTAAATCCAAACTCATGGATGATTTGTTCATCAATGCTTTTGCATTGCTAGGAAAAACTTACATCATTTCCAACATGTATTAATTTCAGGCAGTTTGTCTTAGAGACTGGAGGAGGACACAGAGCACAGAAGGGAAAAATCTGTACTTAAAAAAGCAATTTATGCTGAAAAAAGAAGTTAAATTCTGCCCCAAAGAGATGCCTTCCAGAGAAGGTGTCCTTCCTCCTTCTAAGACAAACTTCTGTGCTGCAGCTGAGTCCACACACAGTCACACATATGTGTGGGGGGTACGACAGTTGATAATTTTACATGAAGATTACCAAGTGTGTATTGAACAACAGCTAACTGCTGTGCTGGAATTGGATTGTATTATTACCTAAGCATATGGCTGGCTGAGCTGCAGCTTTCCAGGGCACCTCACCATTGTACAGATAATCCTCAGGTGATGCATAAAAAGAAAACAAATCCTGCCAGCTGAGACTATAATCAAAGACTCCCAAAGCTTTTCAGCAAGATGACTTAAACCAAGAAACAGTTTAAAAGACATTGAGTCTTCTGACTCTTATCTACATATACTCTTCATTTCACACAAATCCCAGGGTAGGTGTATACACAGGACCTTGCTCATATAATTCTCCCTATACAGACATTCAGGCTGCTCCACTGGGTCTTTACACCTTACAATCCAGAACACTGAGAGCTCTGGGGTGGCTCCTCTGGGCTGCTCTGACATTAGAAACCTAGACTCGCAAACTTACCAAGAACTCAGACCCACGAATCCATCCTACACACCTGAAAATAGCAGTGCTCTTTTGGGGATACAAAACAGCCTAGCTACACAGTCCAACCGTCTTGGCAACTGCAAACCACACCTCTCATAAATACACAAGTGCAGACACAGGTTTGAAACCACTTTAAAAATCATCAATTATTATCCTTTACTGCTGGAGTGCTAAAGATTATTTAGAGTAGAAATAATCTAAAGAATAATTAGGGGCCCTGAAAGGATACCCATGCCTCATCTTCATTCTTTGGCTTTAGCATCTTTGTTCACAGCTGCTGATTTCCAAACCACAGACTCTTCATATCACTTCACCTTACCTGTCATTGACAGATTAAGGTGTCAATCTTAGAATCATAGAATAGTTAGGGTTGGAAAGGACCTTAAGATCATCTAGTTCAAACCCCCCCTGTCATGGGCAGGGACACCTCACACTAAACCATATCACCCAAGGCCTCATCCAGCCTGGTCTTGAACACTGCCAGGGGTGGAGCATTCACAACCTCCCTAGGCAACCCATTCCAGTGCCTCACCACCCTAACAGGAAAGAATTTCTTCCTTATATCCAATCTAAACTTCCCCTGTTTAAGTTTGAACCCATTACCCCTTGTCCTGTCACTACAGTCCCTAATGAAGAATCCATCCCCAGCATCCCTATAGGCCCCCTTCAGATACTGGAAGGCTGCTATGGGGTCTCCAAGCAGCCTTCTCTTCTCCAGGCTGAACAGCCCCAACTTTCTCAGCCTATCTTCATATGGGAGGTGCTCCAGTCCCCTGATCATCATTGTGGCCTCCTCTGGACTTGTTCCAACAGTTCCATGTCCTTTTTATGTTGAGGACACCAGAACTGCACACAATACTCCAAGTGAGGTCTCACAAGAGCAGAGTAGAGGGGCAGGATCACCTCCTTTGACCTGCTGGTCACGCTCCTTTTGATGCAGCCCAGGATACGGTTGGCTTTCTGGGCTGCGAGCGCACACTGAAGCCTGCTCATGTTCATTTTCTCAACACCCCCAAGTCCTTCTCCACAGGACTGCTCTGAATCTCTTCTCTGCCCAACCTGTAGCTGTGCCTGGGATTGCTCCAACTCTTGCACTTGGCGTGGTTAAACCTCATGAGGTTGGCATCAGCCCACCTCACAAGCATGTCCCTCTGGATGGCATTCCTTCCCTCCAGCGTATCAACCGAACCACACAGCTTGGTGTCATCTGAGGGCGCACTCAATCCCACTGTCTATGTCACCAACAAAGATGTTGAATTCAACCCTCACTCTCTGTTGCTCCACCACAGAATGATGCTTATCCTCTCCCCACCATTGCTTCTTGCATGCAGGTTTGTCCTGGAGAAAAGCATGAGCAACTCTGGCCTCAGCAAGGCGCACAACTGCTGCTATTCTGCAGTGGCCACCAGTGTGCACACTCTAACCTCATGGTGTATGCAATGTTGTTTAACCACTTAAGGCTTAATCAGCTCCACAGCTGCTTCAGACTAAGACATGCCCACAGCTGGCTACGGCAGAGCCCACCTTGCCTTACATGGCTATCGTCTAACACCAGCTTACCTCTCAATGAGAGCTTTGGAATGCCAAAGATCTTGTCTGAAGGCGGAGGGATAAAAGAAAATCAATCTGCATTAACTGTCAAAGCTTTGGTTCTTTAAGTTTTGTTAAACTTTACGTTTACACTCCTTGGCTGGTGCAAGAATATCATAGTGAAAATCAAAAGAACATCAGATTCTCTACAAGTGCCCAAATTCACTCCTATCTTGTGGTAAGTGCCATATACCTTATCCTGCCTGCATAACCATAATCCCCTTTCTTATTCTCATGTGCACAATCTCTTCTCTATAAGTATTTGCACCCCCCAGAGAAGTAGTGCAAAATATGGAGGCAAACCTTTTACTGACACGTGAAATTCTACTTAGTTGACCTTAAAAAGAACAACAAAAAAAAAAAAAAAATCACAGACAAAAGGTTTCTAATCTGTAGGAATGTGACAAGGTAAATAATTTAAAATAAACCCATCAAAAGAAGAAATTTAGTAAACATTGTCTTCGTAACTGGAGAAGCCAGTTCTGCATCTAAACCAATTGATATTGACTTAATGGGAGGAACAAGTTTAAAGACTTCAGTGAGGCTGAAAATCCAACTTGGAAAACAATACTTAAAGAACGTGTCAGGTGAAGGTTAATTAAGAGAGAAATCCAGTTTGGTAGAGTTTAAGTTCTGTACACTAGCACTGTGTTTGTGTTTCTTCTTACTATACACAGTTTGGGTTAGGTTCCTCAGTCTGAAACTAAACTATTTGTTGTGGCTGTGATCCCAAATGCCAGATCTCAAAAACCTTGAATTCCCCTCTTTATATGCTAAGAGCAATAGAAAGAAAAGCAAGACATTTACATAGCTTAAAGCTGTCTTGTGGTCCTGATATTTTATTACTTAATACTTTCGGGAAACAATCAAGATTAGTAGGTTATCATTTACTCTCTAGCAACCTCTGACATAAGCAAGTATATCCTGCTCCCACAAACTCAAGGTACACATGTAGGCTGTGATGGAATATAAACCCTCAGTGCAGGTCAATAGGCCTGAACCACAGGCACAGCATGGACTCAATGGCAGACAAACGCTTAGGTTTTTATTAACCTTCAAAGCAGAGCAGAATATTACAAGGAATGTCTCTCTGAAATTAATACTGCCTCCAGTATCTACTGCAGTGGTCTGTAAAAGATTAATCCAGTAGAGAGAGGAAAGGATGAACATGATGCAAGCTAGTAACAACCTGGCTGACCCTGGCTACCAGAGCAGACATTGGTGGTGCTCATTGGGCAAAGGTGTCTTTAGGACTTTGCTGCTGAAGTAACTGGGCAGTTTCATTTCTAATCATTTTGGCTTTGTGGCTCTCCTGCCAGAGCACAACCACTGCAGAGGATATTCTGGTCCACTCACAAACAACTTTTGACATTGGTCAGATTATGAATAGCTGAATATGCTTATTTCACTGGTTACTGTAACCTGGAACTCTTTTCACTCATTCATAGACTGAAAAAATTACACTCCCAACAGGAAAAAAAATGCCCTTTCACTAAACTGCTCCCAGGTAGCTAGCAGGATTTCTGCCTGAAATTGCCTCTCACTAGTGATTCCAGCCACAACAGATGTCATTACATGCTCACCTTGAGCAGAAGACCTCCCACCTGCCTGAACAGAGATTGAAAATAAGATGGAAACAGCCATTAGGTACTGAGCAGTGGACAAAAATTATGGTTTATACTAACAAATAGTTCCAGCATGCTGTTAATTTTGAGGGGGTTACCATGTAATTCATCAAAAAGACTTCCTAGTATTAAGGTCTAAACCTGATTTGTATGCATCCAGATTGCTATGAAATAGCAAAACACATCAGTTGCTCATGGCACTTTTGACACTTAAATTATGGCCTACATTTTTAGCCAGCTTCTGTTTTCTCGGGAATTTCAAATGCAAATCACAATTTTATTCATATCTCTACGCTTAACTTCCTAAAAATAGGGCATTAGTCCTTGGCAGCTTTTCATGCAATATTTGCAACTTTGCATATCTGTCTGGGGTAATTTGAATATAAATCCCTTACTGGTATGACGGCGATATTTTAACATTCATTTTCTGCTCTGTGAAACAGGCCGTGGATAACATTTTCATTTAAAAAGTATCTAGATCAATCTTGAGAGTACAAAATCGATGTTTTTCACAGTTCGCCTCCAAGGTAAAACAAGCTACCTTCTGTCCTGCTGGGACTGCACAGCTTGCAGTACCTAAGTTAGATATTTACACTGCAACCCAGTGTGTGTGAAATGAGCTGAGGAAACCCCCAGCCGACATTATCTTCAAATGTCTGGCTTTTAGGATCCCTTCAGGATGAACAGTGATTCCACACTAAAGAAACCGTGAGGGTGAATGGCAGTAAATATGCACACACAGAAGCCTTTCTGTGACCATTACTGCTGCTGAACATTGAGAACTGAGCTGCTCATTGACCTGCCTACCTGCAGCATAATTAAAAATGCAGTAAGTAATCACACTACATCTTTTTCACATTTATACTCATTTTTTAATCA